GGAGCGGGGGGGAGAAGCGGCGGCGGCGGCGGCCGCAGCGGCTGCAGCTCCTGGGAGGGGGTCGGAGTCGCCTGTCACCATTTCCAGGGCTGGGAACGCCGGAGAGTTGGTCTCTCCCCTTCTACTGCCTCCAACACGGCGGCGGCGGCGGCGGCACATCCAGGGACCCGGGCCGGTTCTAAACCTCCCCTCCGCCGCCGCCGCACCCCCCCTGGCCCGGGCTCCAGAGGCCGCCGGAGGAGGCAGCCGTTCCGAGGATTATTCGTCTTCTCCCCATTCCGCTGCCGCCGCTGCCAGGCCTCTGGCTGCTGAGGAGAAGCAGGCCCAGTCGCTGCAACCATCCAGCAGCCGCCGCAGCAGCCATTACCCGGCTGCGGTCCAGAGCCAAGCGGCAGCCGAGCGAGGGGCATCAGCTACCGCCAAGTCCAAAGCCATTTCCATCCTGCAGAAGAAGCCTCGCCACCAGCAGCTTCTGCCGTCTCTCTCCTCCTTTTTCTTCAGCCACAGGCTCCCAGACATGACAGCCATCATCAAAGAGATCGTTAGCAGAAACAAAAGGAGATATCAAGAGGATGGATTCGACTTAGACTTGACCTGTATCCATTTCTGCGGCTGCTCCTCTTTGCCTTTCTGTCACTCTCTTAGAACGTGGGAGTAGACGGATGCGAAAAATTTCCATAGTTTGGGTGACTATGACATTTAACCCTGGTCGAATTTCTAGATTATATATATATTCTCTTTGAATGCATTCTACCTAGGGTGTGTTCGGCTAGACGGAACTCTTGCCTGGTTGCAAGTGTCAAGGCACCTATTGGTTTCCTGGTCTGTGTCTATGGGGTTTCTTCCCGAAAGGCTATTGTCCGTTAAGGCAGAATACAGGACGCTGTTAGGGATTAGTGACTTTGGTAAGCCGGTCTACTAAATGAACAGAAAAGTAGACGCTTTGAGGTTGAGCATATTTCGATTAAATCTTGGCTTTAGTCCCTAGATCAAGGGTATAGATCAGATTAAAATGAAAATTAGTGTTGCACGTACGCATATTGCATCAGAATCTTGCAGTGATTGTTCTTAGTTTCCTGGGTTGCCTTGATAGATTCTTTTAAAATGTGAGTTGTGAACTGATTTGCATAATTTTAGAAGCAGAATCATTTTCAGCCTATATGGTGCTCATTTGAAGGCAGAAGTGTAGGGTTCGTATGTTTAAACTAAGTTAATTACAACTTTGACCTGCATTTAGAAGTTTTGTCATTTGAGATCAATAGTGCCATAATATACCTCATAAGGTGCTCTTGTTAGATCTTTGTTAAATTTGCCTTTTCTCTCCTGATGGGGTGATGTAGGATAGAGCATGAAATCTGCAGTTTAAGTAGCATTTTATATTCAGTGCTCTTGTTTCACCTAATAGAATGGAGATTGAGTGGTTTTTGATCCCAGATAATAATGTTGTGTAGGTTCAAGGGATTGTGTGTAGCAAATGGTGATTGTAAAGATTAAACTTCAGTTCTCACTTGAAATTTAAGCATTGTGATGCCAGAATTGCTACTCAACCTTATTTAGGTTTCAGGTCCTCTGACACCTTTGGGTATCCCTTAAATTTACTCTGACTCGTGTAGAATGTCAAGTATAATTTACCAGCTACTAACCAGAAATGCTGGCAAGAGTGGATTACCCTAGCTTCAGATGGTAGGTATGTTAGCTTTTTTCAGTGTTAAATTTACTGAGTCAGCTTGTTGAATAAGACAGAAACCCAAGAAAATTTAACAGTATAGTTTTGGTTGTCTAAAGCATCAATCTTTGCAGTTTCATATATAATAAACTGGTTTTAATCAAGGATGGGGATAGAGCCCCTCCTTTTTGCAGAATGGAAAGTATCACAGGAATTGAGAGTTACTGGTAGGCCAGTGTATAAGGCATGAAAAATAGAATTAAGTTATTGGTCTGCAGTGACTAAAGCATTCTATTAGGGCCAAAAATTTGGTGGTGTGAACTGTAGCAGTGGACAATATTTAGTTAAAATTATGTAATTGCATAAGTGTTAATAGCGCATTCTTAGTAAAAATTATTTTAGCAAACATCAGTAAACATTTTGCTTAAAGGAAGAATGACACTAACGTGTGTGCCCTGCTAAATATTGTGGGGAAGGTTTCTTCAAAGAAAACATTTTATGTCTGAAGAGGTTATATTCCTTTGGATATGTAGCTTCACATAAATGTTCACAGCTAATTTTGCCCAAGTTTTATTTTGAAATTATAAAAGTTCTTGAAGAAAAAGCTTTATAACACAAAAAATGTTAACAGTTTTCTAAGTTAAAAATAATACTGTAAAGTATAATTGGAAATTTTGGAGATTGCATTAATTGAAAAACTTTACTAAGGCTGAACTTGACCCACTTGCCTAGAAGATAATTAATTATGGGAAAACCCTTCTGATTTGTAAGATTTCAGATGTAGTGTACTATTGACAGTGGTCTAGATATATAAGAACAAATTAATTAAATGTTTATTTAACTTTTTTTAAAAAAAACCCATTCTAAAAAACTCCTGAACTTCTAGTCATTTGGTGCACAAATCAAAGTTTGTTTATGCTATTTTTACTTTACTCATTTGATTTAAAATGATGAGGGTTATAAAACTAAAATTATTCTACCAGGTGCTTATATGTGAGTTAGCAAACATCAGTAAACATTTTGCTTGAAGGTAGAATGACACTAACGTGTATGTGTGTTGGCTATTTCTCCTTTCATTTCAGAGTATGTGTGCCCTCTATATGTGAAACTTATGTGATTTAAAACTTTCTCTAAAACGATTTTTAGTTATGGTATGCATAGAAAGTAGCATCAAATGACTAATAACATTTAATTTCTAGAGTTGTGGTTTTATTGAGCCAAATGTTGATAGGAAAAAAAATTTCTTGGGAAAAAGTCAGTGCAGGGCTTACTTTTCTTGGATAGTTCCACTTCCAATAATTTTGATACACAAAAACACTGGTTTGCTTGGTTTCACTTTAGTGTTTTGTGTTTATTGTAGGGGGAAAAATTAAAATGGGCATTGAAGCCTTTTCTCTGGCAGGTTGTAGGACCTATTTCAACAGCTAGCCTATTGAAAGTTAAATTTCTTTATGAAAGTAGCGATTGGAGTATTTTAGCTGGTAAAGATTAATAATGAAGTGATTTCTCAAAGACAAATTGAGGACCATAATTCAGTTGTAAAAGATTTTTGCAAAATTGACTTATTCTAAAAGTAATTTGTTGGTAGGGTTTTATTCTTAATGGTAGTCCCGAAAGTAGTGCCGAACATCAGCCTGTACAATATTTAGTGTCTTTAGATTTCATGGAAGCTTTAGGCTTCTGTTGTATTTTTATTGTTTGGTAAGTTTGTGTCTTTTCAAATATTAATCTTCATAGGGAATATTTTTAACTTGTAGAGAATACAGTGACTATTGAAATTAACTGTGTTATCTCTTAAGATTAGTGATTACCGAAATGACCATATTGTGAGTTTTTTTTTTTTTTAAAGATTCTATTCACAATTTTTATTTTACACTGTTATGTATCTGCTGAGTTGTATTTCTTTCCTAAACAATATAACTGGGCTACCTAATTGCTATACGATAATTTACAAACTTCATTTTCTTAAAGCTTATTCAAGAATAAAGCTCATCTGAAAGGAGAGTAATTTACAGTTTGTATGACTCAATATAAGGAAAAGGGAATTTTATTGCTGTCCACTGTAAATGTTTGCACAGTAGTACAGTCATCAATGCAGATTTACATTGCTTATGATATACTAAAATATTAAATGAATAAATATAAAATATGGTGAGATATAACCACCTTAATTTTAAATTTAGTTTTAGAAAGATAGTAGAGAAAGGTGCATTTGTGTGTATTATCTTTTAGCAACATGAGTATCTTAACACGAGAATGGTAGCTGGTCATACTATTTTAATTTTTGTGTGGAGCAGTTTATCTGCTTTTTTCTAATAACCACACACAATGTACAAACCTATTAATGTTACAAAATTCCTTTTTGGAAGTGAAGTTTCAAATTCTTATTTTCAAGTGTTTTCATTTTGAAATGTGCCCCATTTGCTATTTGTTCATTTGATGATAGTTTAATACTTTTTAATAATTTTTAAGGCACTTAAGAAGTAATCATTTCAGTGACTTTTGATGGAGAGTATTTATTATGGGAAAATCAGTTCACAAAGTTTCAACATTAATTGACAATAAACATTCTATTTTTAAATTTTTACCTCAGCCTTTTTAGCAAGACAAAAGTATAGGAAATGTTTTTATATTAATATACGTGAAATCGGAGTTTGTAAAGAGAGATTTAGAAGTGTGCATGCATGTAACAGTTTTTCACTTACTTGAAATGTTAGGCCTGGCTGTACTATAAGGATTTAGCTTCCAGAATATAGGTTATTAATGTAGTCTAAGAAATTTATTTGGTATCGTATTTTTTTTCCTGTAGAGACCATTAGTTCTGAATTTTTATTTCTATTTCATAGAACCCTCATTATTAACCTTTCTTTCCTGCCACCCCCTTAGGTAAGCTTGATTTTAAGTATAACCAGTATTGGAGGATTCATTTGTGGCCTGAATTCATTACAGAAAGGTGTTAAGATTTGTTCTAAGGATAGTGATTTAAGACATTTGTATTGACCTGGGAGACTGGGGTCAGTAATGATTTCAGTAAATACCCAATTGTGTTTTATAGTTGCTTTCTGTCTGGTAGCTTTGAAATTAGTGCAGTTGCTATCAGGGATATCAGTAATGTTGAGGTTAGACTGAATAACCTTAAGCTGGTAAGGATTTATTGAGCAAACATATTCTAATTCTTTTATATAGGCCATATGCTGCCACATCATTCTTCGCTAGGTGGTTAAAAGTATTTTGGTCTGTGAATAATGAGTCTCTTTGGAAGTATTGAATATATGCACTTACTAATGTAGTATACTTTCAGTTTGTCAGGAAAGGTGAAATTAGTATATTGGATTTGACTATTTTCCTATCCCCTAATTTTTCAAGTTTTTTCATTGGTTACAGATATTAGCAGTTTGGTTCTTTTAATATAATTTGCACTAGAATAAAAAAAGGCTGTTGGAGAAATATTAATATAAGAAGAATAAACATAATTTAGTGGATGAGTTAATTTTGTATGGGATTTTAATTTAGTTCAAGTATAGTTAAGGCAGATAATCTTTGTTTGCAACAGTTGGCATTTAAGAGATGGGTGGATATTTTCAGATTATTAGGTATACACTTGATGGCAGTGCTGAAAATATTGACAGATGGATACTGAACCTGTCAGCAAAATAATATTCTTAACCTGTACATAGTGTGGAAAGGGAGACTGTATACACAGAATTTTCAAACACTTACAGTTAGATTCACTGTCCATAAGTATGACCAGTGAATCTATGTGGACAGTGAATCTAACTCATAGGTGAATATTCTGTGTATACAGGTAAGTAAATACAGTTAGCAAACTACCATAATATTTCTTAAAATGAGCTTATTTTCTCTTTAAACAAGAGATTACCTTGGTGGATACTGTTTTAGAATTTTCAAATAAGGTTGAATCTATTTTAA